CAGCATTTTCTCTTGTTGCCTCTCAGCCCCTCAGCGTCTCCAGCCCCCTTTTGATGTGTAAACGAACTCTCTATTTATAGAGAAATTTTTTTGAATGAGCAGCTTTGTGAAAGAATAAAATATAGTTTCTTTGAAAGGCCAACATCCATTTGTGTCAACTTTTTATAATCCCAAGATAAAATTACCAAAATCAATGGTTTAGTTGGGTGGCTCCTAGTTTATAGGGGGAAAATGTGCAGAAGAGACAGGCACAAGGCTCAAAAACTTTCTAACAAGGTAGTGATGTCATCAAGAGTAAGTTGGCTTGAAGAACAATTTAATGTAGAGTGAGGCACAAGTTGGAGGCCTATGTGGCCTGACCTATGGACAACTTGACCCTTTGAATCGAATCCTTCATTTTTCCATAACCTTCGACCAGACTCAACAAAGAAACATTCGTTTCCACCAGTTGTGTGTCCTTTAAATGGACCAATTGTGTGTCCTTCGAATATCCCTCTTCAGTTGAATATGCCATTTTGAGTCCTCTTGCTTTTGACCACTTAGGCCCAAATCTTCGACTAGACTCCAAAGTAAGCAAAAACAATTATTCCCCAACTATGGCAAGTCCTTCGAATGGGCCACCAAGTTGTGTGTCATAATGCAACACTATGGCGCACTGAAGGGTTTGCAGATGGATTATAAGGTGATATGAAGGCGCATTCGAAGCAAACATGAAGATGAAATCGAAAGTCACAGTAAGGTAGCCATTCATCCAATCAAAAACTTATGAATCTAAGGCAAATAGGTGAGGGGCCAATGGTGCAATCGAAGCTTGCAGGCAGGAGCTATTGTCCAAATGAAGCTTGCATGCATGAGCTATTTTAGTGCATCAAAGAAAACCTGCGGGAGGTTAAATGCCCAAATGAAACTTATGGACCAAAGCTTGATCGAAGATGCCAGATGCTCAATCTAAGGATGTAAATCAAAGCTTGCATCGAAGGAGGCCCAAATGTTCAATTGAAGCGTGAGGACCAGAGCTCGCTCGAAGAAGGCAAATGCTCAATTGAAGGATGTAAATCAAAGCTTACATCGAAGGAGGCCCAAATGCCCAATCGAAGGATGAATCAAACTTGCTCTAAGGAAGCCTAGATGCCCAATAAAAACTAGTATGAATCAAAGCAAGCTTGTTTTTCTTCAATTTTGTCAAGAAAATTAACTTTTGCTTTGCCCTTTCTTTGTCTGTTTTGTACAAATTTGAGCTTTTTGAAAATCCTTGTGATAAATGACTTGAGAAATAAGAGGGCAAATTTTGGGGTACAACAACGACCTTTCCAATATACTACAATGGTCCCAGAATCGTGATTATAAATTACACATTTACAACAACACTCTACACAATAACATCTGGACACACATGATTATATGAGTTTTCAAACCGTTGTTAAATGGATTGCCATCTACTTTTCTTCGTGGTGTCGATAGCCATTTTTGCATTCTCCCATATTATTCTCTCTAATGGTTTCTTTGTTTTATGTTTTGAGTAGTGGTGGTTTGGTGTGCTTTTCTAAGTGTTTGTCATGTGCCTGCTTGTTTGGGTTTTTGTGTTTCTGCTTGTGCTTTTGGTGTTTGTTTTGTGGCTTTTATTTGGTGACTTGTGTTTTTTCTTTCTTTCTGTCTTGTTTTTGTGAGTCTATAATTTTTTTATAAAAAAATATATATTAAAGGAAGTATAAGGAATACTCAACCAAATATAATAAATGAGTAGAAGATCCCCAAAACATTTGTGAGTCTGCTATTGTTTTCTATTCCTTTTTCAGGGCTCTTGTTTATGTTGTTGTTATAGAATATACATAATGTGTATATTTTAGTTGTATTATTCACATGAATGATGATTGGAATAAATAGGAGATACAGGATAATGGAGATTAATTTGTTGCAAACAATAGTATAACAGATCAGCTAAAACTAAGGCAACAAATCAATACACATAATGGCTAATTTAAATATATAATAACTATACAATATTTTAAATTGTAACAACTATTGCTATAATTAAGGAGCTTCTAGAGGAAAGGATCAAGTAATTGTTGTTGTAGTTACATGACTGTGCTAATACGCCCTACAAGATGGAGGAGTGGTCAACGACGCCAATCTTGGAGAGAAGAAACTCATGACGAGGCTGAGAGAGTGGTTTCGTAAGTAAATCTTCTAGTTGGTGACTAGAAGGTACATGAGACACTTTGAGTTAACCTTTTGCAATGATGTCACGAACGAAGTGATAGTCGATAGCTAAGTGCTTCATTCGTGAGTGAAACACTAGATTTGCACAAAGATATATTACACCAATATTATCAGAAAATATGTTCGACGGATGAGTGATTTTGATCCCCAGTTCCAATAGAAGCTGCTGTAACCATAAGAGTTCAGATGTAGTAGTTTCGATTGTGCGATATTCAGCCTCTATGGAGGATCTCACAATTGTAGGTTGTTTCTTGCGGGACCAAGAAATGACATTGGGTCTGAGATAAACTATGTAGGCACCCGTGGACTTTTGATCAATTGTGTCACCGCCCCAATCTGCATCACAAAAGGCAGTGAGTTCAAGATTCTTTGTTGCTACTAGATGGAGACCATGTGAGATAGTTTGCTTGAGATATCGGAGAATGCGTTTGAGAGCTTGCATGTGATTTGCCGAGGGTGCTTGCATGAACTGTGACAACTTATTGATAATAAATGCCACATCTGGTCTAGTGATAGATAAATAATGCAAAGACCCAATACTGTTGCGAAAAGAAGTAGCATCACATGGAGGTGTATCATTCTGGATGCCAAGGGAGAAAGTAGTAGACATTGGAGTTCCTACTGGCTTAGCATCAATCATATTTCCTTTGTGCAGTATGTCTCGAATATAATGATGTTGAGACATGAAAATTCCGGTGTTTGTGGGAATGAGTTCGACACTAAGGAAATGACTCGGTCTTCAAAGATCTTTTAGAGAAAACTTTATAGCAAGATCAACCTTGAATTTATTTAAGAAGCTGATATTGTTTCCTGTAAGAAGTAGATCATCAACATATACTAGGAAATAGGTAATGACATTACCGTGATTGTAGATGAAGAGAGATGAATCTGATTTGCTATTGAGAAATCCAGAAGCAACAACAAAGGTTTTTAATTCATTGCACCAGGCTCGTGGAGATTGTTTTAGACCATATAATGCTTTGCGGAGCTTGCATACATGATCAGATAGTGTAGGATGAACAAAGCCATATGGTTGACACATGTAGACATCTTGAGATATGGTACCGTACAAAAAGGCATTGTTAACATCCATTTGGATTAAATTCCAGCCTTTTGAAAGTGCAATACACAATACCATTTTGATCGTTTGCGGCTTGATAACAGGACTAAAAGTGTCTTTATAATCAATACCTGGTCGTTGATGAAAACCTTTTGTAACAAGTCGCGCTTTGTAACGAGCGATGGATCCATCCGGATTTCTTTTCAGGCGAAACACCCATTTGTTTCTAATGACATTAAAGTGAGGTTGTGGAGGAACTAAAGACCATGTACCATTAGTCATGAGAGTTGTAAATTCTTCAGATATTGCTTGTTTCCACTCATGGCTCTGCATTGCTTTGGATACACATGTTGGTTCTTCAACTGGTGGTAGTGTATGTTTAGACACAAAACGTTTCTTTGGTTTGAATATTCCTGCTTTTCCATGAGCGATCGTGGAGTGATTTGGCATTACCAAAGTTTAAGCTTGAGAAGAAGAACCCGCTGCAAGTGATTGAGATGAAGATGAAACATGTACATGTGGTGATTGAGGTGGAGAATCTATTATGGTTTGAGGAGGGGGATTGATGGGTTGATTGGAAGGAGGGGTATCACTTTGGGCTAAGGAATTTTTTGGTAATCTGGATGAGGTGGGGGTGGATGAGCGAGATATTTGAGTAAGGTTAGTGGGGATAGATTTTGAGATTGGTATTATAGATGTTAAAGGTTGAACACCATAATCTATATTTGTAGAAGGTTGTTTATAGTCTAGATCAACGTGAGATATATGTGATGGTTTATTTTTGTTTGGTGAGTATGGGAAAATGTCTTCTACAAATTGAACATGTCTAGAATGATGGATTTTGTTGTTTTTGAAATTGAAGAAAATGTATGCACTTTGTGTGAGACTGTATCCAAGGAACAAGCATGGTTCAGATCTTGGTTCTAACTTATTATTTGTGTATGGTTTAAGCCAAGGAAAGCATAGACATCCAAATGTTTTTAGTTTTTTGTAGTTTGAAGGTGATTTAAATAGTACATCGTGTGGTGTGCTCATGTTAAGACCATGAGCGGGTAACCGATTAGTTAGATAGGTTGCTGTTTGAAAGGCATATGACCAAAAGTTGGAAGGTAGGGAGGCGTGGTTGAGGAGGCAGCGAGCAGTTTCAGTGAGGTGATGGCGCTTTCATTCAGAGAGACCATTATGTTCAGGGGTATTGGGTGAGGTGGTTAAGTGAGAGATACCATTGGCTTGTAAGAATGGTCGAATTTTTATAAATTCTCCACCATTGTCAGAGTAAAGGGTTTTAATTCTAGAGTTAAATTGTCTTTCTACCAAGTTTTTAAAAATTGGAAATATTGTTGAAACATCAGATTTGAGTTTTAGAGGGTAGAGCCAAACATACTTAGAAAAATGGTCCACAAAGATTACATAATAACGAAAACCATCAATTGAATTTACTGGAGCCGGTCCCCATAAGTCTGAGTAAAAAATTTCCAAGAGACTAGAACTCGAAATAGAAGACCTTGAAAATAGTAGTTTATGACTCTTATTAGAAAGGCAATCTAGACATTTATTAAAGGAACCAGAATAGGAAATATTTTTTGACTTGAGGGCGTGAAGGAGAGTAGGAGGTGCAGGATGACCAAGTCTGTGGTGCCATAGTTTGAGTGAGGAGTTGGAGAGTGAATAGGAAATTTGTGGGGCTGGTGCTTTTGGTTGAAACATGTACACATTATCTTCATTCAATCCTCGCAGAAGAATCTCCTTTGTATGCAAGTCCTTTACCTCGAAATACCAAGGGAAAATTTCAATAGAAACTTTGCTAATTTGACACAATTGAGAGACAAATATCAAATTTTGAGTAACATTTGGAACATAGAGAATATCTGACAACTTTAAGGAAGAATTATTTGTGGAACCAATATGAGTAATGGGAAGTTGATTACCATTTGCAACTTGGAGATTGTCAGATCCATGATAGTCTTCTTTAATGGATAAATTTCTCATGTCATTGATAATATGGTGGGATGCGCCGAAATCAAAGAACCATGAAGGTGGAGACGAGTGAGAGGCCACTGTTTGTGCAACATGTGCAGTAGGATGACTAGGCTTGTTTGGGTATCCATTAATCTTGTAGCACTGTTTTGCTGTGTGGCCAAAATTTTCACAATATTGACATATGACAACATTGTTGGATGCTGGCTTCTTATTGTTTGGGAAAGTTTGATAATGACCATTATAGTTGTTGCGACTTTGTGAATCATGGTTATGGTGATGATTGTTGCGGCCAATATGATGGTGTCCTCGATTGTAGCCGTTGTAATGACGTTGTGCAATGTTGGCAGTGATGGGAGCCGGTGTCGAGATCTGTTCTTCTTGCTGCAAAAACATCTCAAAATCCACCATAGAGTTCGTTGAAGGCGATTGATGAGTCACGAGTGCGAATAGCAGTAGTAAAGTCCCTGAAGGTCGGTCCGAGATCATTCAAGGCATGGATAACCATTTCAAGGTTGTCAATAGGATGACCAATGAGGGCCAATTCATCAGCAATATTGCGTATTGAATGCAAATAGGTTGAGACAGAGGAATTCCCCTTAGTGATTGAACTGAGACGTTCTCGGAGTGACATAATTCTATACTACGATCGATTTGAGAAGGCACGAGCAAGAGCAGTCCAGGCATCATAAGACGTATCTGAAGCCGCCATGACATATCGTGCTTCAGAATCACAGGAGCCAAGAAGAGCAAGATAAATTAGTTTATCTTGTCTGATTCATAAGGAATGATCAGGATTTAGTGATGTAGTTTCACCGGTAACAATAGTAGCAGGAGGACACTTCTTTGTGCCTGTAACAAAACCTTCAAGGTCACGAGAAATGAGGAGTGCACTGCACTGTTTGTACTAGGCACGATAATTGATTCCATTTAACTTAATTGGAAAGTGAGAATTTGTGTTGAATTCCATAAGTTCTTTAAGGTTTGAGTTGTTGTTTGGTGCTGCCATGATAAGGATCAGTAAAAAAAAAGCTGTGAAGCAATGGCTATTCTGATACCATATAAAATATATAGAATGTGTATATTTTAGTTGTATTATTCGCATGAATGATGATTGGAATAAAAAGAAGATACATGATAATGGGGATTAATTCGTTGCCAACAATAATATAACAGATCAACTAAAACTAAAGCAACAAATCAATACACATAATGACTAATTTAAATATATAATAATTATATAATATTTTCAAATTGTAATAACTATTGCCATAATTAAAGAGCTGCTAGAGGCTGATAATAAGTGACTGCTAATAGTTGTTTCATTGTTTGATGTTTGGCTACGGTGGTCAATTTACTGCATATTATGTTCAACTAAAATCTTTTCTTTGTTCTTTGTTGTTTCCTATTCCCATATAGTTTTTTCATTAACAAAATTTGATTATTCAATTTCCTTTTTATTTTGTAACTATGCTACTACATATATTGTTACTTAAATACTCTAATTTGCCGTAGATTTAGAATAATAAACTTACATGTACATCATAAAATCAATTTTAAAATTCTTAATAAAAAATTATATCTTAAACCTTTAATGTAAAAAACCCTAATCACATCCAATTTTTATTATAGTATTATAAATGAATAAATTAGTTGTATATGATGGCACATGGTCCACCATACCCATGAGTGGAAGCTTTCATTACGTGCATTGAGTTAAAGCAATTTAAACAAATAAAACAAAATTGGAGAGTTCAAACTTAGCTCAGTTGACAAGTTTTTCCATCTTTCATATACGGTCATTTCTTTTCACACACGTCCTTACAAAGAATCTAACACATTTGTTTATTAATCATATTTTACGCTATTGAAATTGCGTTTTCAAAAGTTGTGAACTTGATTTTGATGGGTGAATCCTAAGTCAAGCATAAAAATATTGTTGAACTGTTTAACCAAAACGGTGACACATGTGATGATCTACTTTTTTTGTTTTGTTTTGTTTTTAATAATATTTATGATCTTCGGCTAGAGAAATAATATTTATGTTTTTGTTTTGACTGTGTTTTCTCAAAACTTGTGATATCATACGGTACGGAAGTCGTATTTATTTATTTACTAATTGAATTTCAAATGTACATAATATACATTTCAAGCTATACGGATACTGTATTATGTCATGTATTGAAGCATGTGGTTTGTATAAAAAATATATTTAAGCATGTGAACGCTTATGGAAGCATAAGCGTGACTTTAACTTCATTATACTACATTTCTTTGTTTGAATATATATATCCACCCCCCATTTTTTTTTGTATCATATAATTTTTTATTATAATACTCTAAAAAAATATATTATCATACTAAATTTTTTTATTCTATTTTAGATGATTTTCAAATAAAATTTCTCTCATGTAATTTCTTTTCTATTTCTCTTTGTTTCACATATATTTAAATTTTATTTTTTTCTCTTTGTCTCTTCTTTCTTTGGATAATTATTATTTTTCTTTCAATTTTATATATATATTATTAATTGATTCTTCTTTTTTTAAATGTATCGTTTCTTCTAAATCTTAAAAATGTATGTTTTGACTTTCCTCTAAAATTTTGTTTCTTTCCCTAAAATTTTATTCTAAAAATATATAAAATAATAGTTAAAATTGTATATTTTTTATTATTGGATAATATATTTATTTATTTAATTTTGAGTGAGATGTTCAATTAACACATAAGGTTAGATTTTTATATTTATACTTGTTAATAATATTTTTTTTTTATAGAATGTGAAATTGCTTAACTGAATGAGATTTCGAAATCACATTTGAGGATTGTTATTGTTATTAACTTGTAAAGTGATTTTTTCGGTTTGTTATAACTTATAACAGGTTTGATTGTGAATTTGTGATTGTGTAAACTTATAACAATAATTTTTATAACTTAGAACAACAAGTTTTTTATAACTTATAAAAACAAGTTGTTTTTCCGGTTTGAAATATAGTCTATATTATATAGATTTATTTGATTGATTGTCATTAATGATTTTTGTAAGGCAGAAGAAATAAAAATGAAGAATAGAAAAACTAATCATTTTTTAAGAGGAAAGCTTGTGAGAATGCTTCTACATTTGAACCTATTAAAGTTTTAAGAATCGAAGAAGTGACAACTTCTATGTACCAACCAGTTGAAGTTCCATCAATTAGAGAAGTGGCAACTGCTACCCCTCAACAAGTTAAAGTTCCAACAATTGAAGAAGTGACAACAACTATCCCTTAATCAGTTGAAATTTCAGATGACATCGTGATCCTGGAAAGCGTCCTCCAACATGGAAATATTCACCAAATTAAGTCAATCAAATATGGAGAGCTTATATGAAATAGAATCCATATCAAATTCATTTAAAATAATATCCTTTGTCTGATAAAGAGGATCATCCAAGATGGTTTTAAGAAACCTGGTTTAAAATCTTTTATTCATGGCTAGAATATTCACCTTCAAAGGATGCCACATATTATTTTCCATGTTATATTTTTAACAATGGACCAAGTGAAAATTCTGGATCTGATGCCTTTATTACAACAGGTTTTAGAGGTTGGAAAAGAATGAGAGATGGAAAGAATTGTGCTTTTCTTAAGCATATAAGGAAAGATCTCCGCTCGACACATAAGAATGTAATGGAAGATTATCAAGACTTGTTGAATAAGGAGACACATATTGAGAATGTTTTCCAAAATCAAAGCTCAAGTCAAAGAAAGAAGAATCAACCATGTCTCAAGGCTTCAATTGACACTGCTTGTTGGTTGTTACTTCAAGCTTGTGCTTTTTGGGGCCATGATGAATCTAGCGAGTAAAAAAACCAAGGTAATTTTCTTGAGTTACTACAACTCTTGACATCTTATAATAATGAAGTAGAAAAAGCTATGTTCAATAATGCTCCACAAAATGGCAAATATACTTCACATAAACTTCAAAAAGAGCTATTGAAAATTATTGCTAGTAGGGTTAGAAAGCAAATTCGTGAAGAAATTTGGTGATTCCAAATTTTGTATCCTTGAAGCTCATGATGAGTCAAACAAGGAACAAATGGCTCTTGTTTTAAGATTTCTTTGATAAATTTGGTTTAATACAAGAGCAGTTTTTTAATGTGGCACATGTGAATGACACGACTAAATTATCTCTTTAAGAAAAATGTATGTGATATACTCTCTCGACATAACCTTGACGTTTTTAATCTTCGTGGCCAAGGGTATGATGGTGCAAGAAATATGAAAGGATGATGGAATGGTTTACAAGCATTATTTATGAAAGATTGCCCTTATGCATACTACGTCCATTGTTTTGCTCATCAGTTGCAACTTGCTTTAGTTACTACTTCAAGAAAAATCAAACCAATAAATAAATTCTTTGAAAAGATAACTTATGTGGTCAATGTTGTTTGTTCTTCACCAAAATGACATGATGAGTTACACGAAGCCAAATTAAAAGAAATTGAACATTTGTTAGAGATTGATGAGATCATTACCGGTAAAGGTGAAGATCAAAATGGTACTTCGAAATGAGTTGGGACTACTCGTTGGGGATCACATTTCATTTCTATTTATAGCTTGATGAATATGTATGAAGCAATTTGTCGTGTTTTAAAAACATTATCAAAGGAAGGGGAAAATTATAATACACACGAGGATGGTGATAATGGTTACAATTACTTGAAGGAATTTGATTTTATATTGATTTTTCATTTGATAAAATAAATTATAGGTATAAATGATGTGCTTTATCAAGCTTTACAACAACAATCTCAGGATGTAGTTAATGCTATGATTTTAGTTCGTGCAACAAAAATTCTTATTTAAGAGCTGAGAGAAAATGGTTGGGATAAGTTGTATGCTTATGTGATGTCTTATTGTATGAGACATGATATTGATATTCCTAATATTGATGATGCTCATTCAACAACAAGATATGGACGCTCTCGTCTTGTAGAGAATCAAGTTACACTAGAACACTACTTTAAAGTTGAAATATTTTTTACTATTATTGATCAACAATTTCAAGAGTTGAATAGTAGATTTAATGAGCAAGCAATGAATTATTTAACTCTAAGTTGTGCTTTGATTCCTAAGGATAGTTATAAAGCTTTTTACATTCATACTATTTTCACCCTAGTTGAAAAATATCATCCTATGGATTTCAATGAGCAATAAAAGACTACTTTGCAATTTCAGCTTCGATAATTTCTTGTTAATGCCCGTCAATCAGCAAATTTGAAGAATTTATCAACTATTCAAAAATTATGTTCGTGTTTGATTGCAACTAATAGGAATAAAATTTATTTCTTGATTGATAGACTACTCCGTCTTATCATGACTCTTCCAATTTCTACTACCGCAACTGAGAGATCTTTTTCGATAATGAAAATTATCAAGACTAAGTTGCGAAACGAGATGAAAGGTCGTTCTCTAGCAGATAACATGTCTGTTGACATTAAAAGGGAAATTAATGATGTATTATTTCTATGGAAACTATTAGATCAAAACTTTAGTGTCAAGATTTTGACAGGAAAAGTTTATTGGTTCGACAAGGTTTAAGCATGCTGTCAAAGTCTGCTCACACGTGGTAGTCGAAATGCTAGGTTTATTAGCATGTCGAATTGTGCCTGTTTTTTATGCCCAATTGTTTAAGTTATCTTGTTCCCTAAGTAATCTTGTAACGAGTCTGTGTGTAAAAGCCAATTAGTTTAGTATGTTAGGTTTCTTATAAGTATCATAGTCTCACATCGTTTTCACTACAAATTGGTGCGGTGAGCGTGGAAAAGATGTCATCAACAAAGTATGACATTGAAAAGTTCACCGAAGTGAAAGATTTTGGTATGTGGCGCTTGAAGATGAAAGCCCTACTGGTTCAGCATAGTTTTTTAGAAGTGTTGAAGGGAACCGCAACCATGGACACCGCATTGAAGGGTCAAGAAAAAAATGACTTTGGTAGAGAAAGCCCATAGCTCCATCTTATTGAGCC